TTTTTTTTTTTTTTCTGTGGTTCTTTTTTGAAAAGTTGGAAATGCATGGGCACCATTATATGCCGACTTGTTATACAATGGGATCTCGTCCCTACGATTTCTCTTTAGAGAATGAATTTTTTATTGTCTGTCTGTAATTAATTGTTTATAAACAACCAATCGCAGTTTAAGAATTATACAAAGACATAAATTAATATTAAAAATTCTCAATAAATTAGTATAATTCTCAAACTTTGATTGGTTAAACAATTTTTTTACCGGCAGGCTTGCGTATAAAGAATTATCTTCTCTTTATCTTTTTTTATTAGTAAATCACCTACCAGAATTCAAGTGGGATTCATCGGATATAAGTGAATTTCCTTACTTTTAAATGGTGGATGATTTATTAAGAATAAAAATAGAAAGAAAAAGTATCAAAGATGATTTAAATATCTTATAAAATTTTACACTCCCAATAGAAACCAAGAGCTTAAATGGGCGTATAAGAGGTCTCCTCTGAGAATTGAACTTGAGAACTAGAGATGTTACAGATCAAAGTCCTGTCATTTAATATACTAGATTAATTTATCTCTACCTTGGAGTTTCTATGGGTCGGATTGGACCATGAGTCTTATTATCCGGCCCAAAAAATAAGTCCGAAATTTGATAGACCCGATAGTTAACTTGTCTAAACACGAGTTCGATACCCTTTCAGAGAGGACTTAAGTTTGTCCTAAAATTCATTACCTTACCCGAAAATACAGCCCATGAGCACCGCCAGCCAAAAACTGGCCCAAGAGCTGGCCTAGCCCAGCTCTGCCCGCCTGTCATTTGACCCATTTGTTTGAAAAATAGTTTACCATTGAAATTTTGAATGTTTGGTCGCAATATTTAATTTAAAATAAAAAAGGTTAGGTGCACTCAATACCCAATTAAAAAAAAAAAAATTAGGTTCCTCTCTTATTTATGAATAAAATTATTCATTATTTATTTTTTTATCTATTTTAACTTTACTTTTACTTGAAAAATATAATTTACAAAAATATTAAATGAAATTATATATATATAAAAAAAGGCTCACCCAACAGGTCCGTGCCACAAGGCCCTAGTGAGTGGTGGGTTGGGTTATGGGTAGTCTACTCCTACCCAAAATTCAGCCCGACTTATCCGATAACTCGCTCGACCTAACTCATGGATAGCTCTGTCTCTACCTTAGGTGAAAATGATTGTAAATTCATCAAAATAGACTATTCTAGACATAAAATGAAACAGGTCCATAGGAAAATTTGGAGTTACCTTTACAATGCTAAACCTGAATATGATAGAGGTCCAACCCCACATAGGGGACTGGACAATGGGATGATTATATCACTGTGACACAGACAAATTAGTCCCTCTCAAACATGCCATTTATTCAAGCACCAAGTACTTTAAGCACTACTTTTAATATAAGCAAAGGTGATTACAAGGAAAATAAGTCATTGACAGGTGAATTCTTTAGGTTAGGTCCATGCCAAATAACACTCATTTCAAAAACTTAACCCACCCGATGTCTACACTTGAACTGTCCCCCAAGCTAGCTTTCACCAGTTACAAACCAACCAACCATGCAACCAACAAAATCGATATTCAACTAAAAGAACATTTTTTCTGCTCCTTTAATTATTTATTACAGAATGTCAAAAGAGTTGTCAGCGCAAGCTTGAACACATTGCGGGCGAAAAAAACACAGAATGCCCATAATATAAATTTTTGGTACCAGACAATAATGTAAATTAGATAAGGGAAAAAATAACACAACAACACTCGAAAATTGCATTGCCAATCTAGACCCAATGACCAAGGTCAACACTGAGGAAGATCCGACGGTGGTGGAGGTAACTTTTGGTTGGGAAGCAGTCCATCCAACACTATCCAAGCCATTCTCAGACCCCAGCTGTTGTGGATGTCAAAGTGACAGTGCATGAACCATACTCCTGGTCATAAATTAACAATGACATACTCCTAATTACAACCATGAATTATATTTGGCATGTTGATGTCAATGAATTAGGTTTTTATATGTTTTTGAATTGATTTGAATTGTTTCTTTTGATTAATTATGTAGATTCTCCGTTAAATTGTCTTTGACAAATTCATATCAGATTAATTTTTCCAATCAGATTTGAGTTCAGATTAGATGCCACTTAATCTGAATCCGAATTCGAATCTAATCCGTTAAGAAAAATATTAATTAGTTAAACAAGCAATAATTCAATATTTGCACTGGAATTATTCATATGTTTTTGTTCTGTAATACGCACCTGGGTTGTCTGCTTGGAAACGAAAGGCGACCCAACCACCGGCGGGAACACCAAACGTATTCCGTTCAACAGGATCCACCAGATTGAAGCTGAGAGGGTCTTTATTGGAGTCAAAGTTACCAGACCCTTGACCAACAACAAAGAAATTGAAACCATGAAGGTGAAGTGGGTGACTTTCAGCACCAAGAATACTCGTATCTTGCAGCACTACCTCCACACTGGCGTTGAACGGCAGCACCACCGCCCGTGTGGCGTTGCTCACAAAAGTGTTGTTAGGTGGTGTTCCGGTGTAGTTGAATGGATTCGGCGGGTTCGCCGGAAAATCAGTGGTGTAAACACCATAAGATTGGCCATTGAAGTATGATTGTAAAAGAGCTTTTGCTGGAAGTGCAAATGAAACATTGTTAATCGAAGCTGCGAATTTTGTTCCATTAGGTCCTTGGCAGCTCATGTTCTTGGGGCATGGACTCGAACCAAGTCCCACGGTGAAGAAAAATCTTTTGTCCACTGTCTGTGGAACGTTGGCCGGGAATTTAGTAGTGGCTAAGCTGCGAAACATCTTGGTGAAATTTGCGACGGCGCTGGCTGTGGCGTTGACTGGTGGCAGGGTTGGCTTGAAGAGCATTTTCTTTTTAATGGAAGAGGGATGATCGTATTCAAGGATTCCAGCGACGGTGGAGTTGTCGAAGGTGCCAAGGCCGGTGAAGTAAGGCCTAGCGGCCATGAAGAAGGTGGCGTTCGGAAAGTAGGGTTTGCTTTTGAGAAGAACGTTGGTAGTTTGACCTGGGGTTATGAGAAGTACGTCGGTGTTGAAGGGTTTGATGTACACAGCATCAGCTTCAACAACGGTGAGAGTGTGATTGGCAACGCTGAAGAAGAGTTCGTCGTTCAGGGCGGCATTGATCAAACGGAGCATATATGTCTTTCCTGGCTTCACCTTCAACCTGAATGTATCTGCAGAAACCAACCTCATGCAATTAATTAATACTTAAAAAATATATTAATTCTGAATTTACCCAAACATAGTTTATTCTTGATAGACAAAATTGTGTTAATGTTTATAAATGTTTATATAACACTATGTGGTTGGCACGGTATGAAACATGAGATTTTAGGTTTAGACGTCATCGTATTCCTAATATCTGAAAGATTTTACACACGGTACAAAAGTTATATTGAATTGTATAAGTACTTATGTCATACTCTCAATAATGGGCTAAAGTTTCGAGTGAGATGATAACTTTATCATCATCAATTGAGTACTCCTGCTTAAAGTTATAATAACCACGGTTTTGATGATAGAATTGTGTGGTTATGCAGTTCCAAGTATTTTTAAAATTGTGTGGTTATAGAAGTTGCAATCCATGAGCTTCTTTTCCTTTGGATCCTGAAAGTTCAGCACACTTGCTGCTTGTATGGTCCCTTGTAATAATCATTACTGATGATACCTTTTGATGAACAATTGTACAAGGGCCCCGGAAGGCCATTGATGGTGTATGCGTCTGAAACGTTTGGACCACCTCCTGTCTGAAGAGCCTGGCTTATGACAGCCTCTGGATCAGCATTCCACCACTCTCCTGAACCCAAAATCAAAACATGTGTGAAGGAAAATCTCATCATAAACGTAACTTAAGTCTTGTATTAGAATATCGATTTGGTTTTTATCAGTGATGATATGATATCACATTGATGCTAATTGTTTCATCGTTTATATCCTATAGTTACCGAAGATAATGGGAACTTCCTTGTAGGGTTTCTCAAACGGGTAAGATTCATTGCGCCTTGGCAGGATAATTATAGGACCATGAAGGGTTGCTCTCAGCCAGGAGATGTGAGCATGCCAGAAGAGGGTGCCTATCTGCCCTGTGATTGTGAAGTTGTAAGTGTATGTCTGGCCAGTTTGAATGGGACATTGTGTTATATAAGCCGGGCCATCAGCCCAACCACTTCTAAGCTGCCGAATTCCATGCCTGCATTATCAAACAAGTGAAATGACTATGGTACTTTCTCTTCTTTCCAGAGTTTTGGTACGTAATATTTGAACTTTTTTCATAAGATTCTACATTGAAAATTTCATAACAAACCCAACACTAGATAGTTTGGCCATACCAATGAATGGTGACATTGTTTGCAACATGGTTAACCACCTTAACGATGACTTGATCACCTTCCCTTGCGACGAGCCGAGGCCCTGGGTACTGTCCGTTTACGCTTACAATACTCTTCGTGTGGCACAATCTAGTCACATTGTGTGACACAATCTAGCATGCAAGCATAAAAGAGCAAACGCAACAACAGATTAGAAGACATTAAAGTTGAAAATTTGTGAACAAACTACATGTTTTTTTCTGCTCATAGTAGGGTACATTGAATGTGTAGTTCCTCGTTATGCAGAAACCAAACTCAGGCAACAGTGATAAAGTACAGAAACCAAAGAGTAGAGCTGCCATTGAAGAATATGATGAAGTAAAACAAGAAGAACCCATCTGTATTTCAAGACAAACTCACAACCAATGTGCTCGTAGCTAGGACTTAGGGAGGCTTTGTGGGACTAAATATATAGAGATGATTAGGTAATAGGACTATTATCATGGAGAAACAGAGGAGGTTTCAATTTTCATTGATCGGACGGCCACTTTGTAAGCTTGGCTTCCATGTTGGTCAAGCTGACTTTTAGAGTGCTGATTAAGTAAGATGATTCTCCGTTCATTGGTCTAATCCTGATTACCAAAAGGATCTTGACTTTTCTAACCTTACATAATGTCTTGTTAAATCAACTTGGTACTTGTTGATTTTTTTGGCTAATTGATATTAAACAATAGGGTTAATTACAAAATGTCTCCAATTTTTGGTAGTTTTTCATTCACTCCTTCAACATTTAATTTCTACAAATAGCCCCTTTAACTTTGACTATTTTGCAATTAACTCCAATTAATTTTAGATCATAAAAATGAAGTTAAACATGAGAAATTCAAGTGAGCCTACTTTATTAAAAAGACATAACTATCCCAGAAAGAGTGTGTATGTGTGTACGCGCACAAATTTTGGGTGGAGGGGGAGGCAAAAGCGAAGGTGAACATGTTGTATAATGTGTTAGTATTTGGCTGAACGGATGTATTATTGTCTTGTCTTTCCCGTTTTTTTATTTTTTTTATGGACATAGTACGTCACGAAAAAAAAAAGAAAAAATAATGTATAAGATGAAGAGGGTAATAGTACTTTCATGTTTCAACTACTGCTGTCAATCAATTTAGTCCACTTAAAGTTTGGAGGGACATATTGCAATATTTAAAACTACAAGAAGCTAATTGCAACAAAGAACATAGTTAGAGAAGACAAATTATAATTAACTCTAAATAATAATACTACTTAAACCTTACTTATTAATCTAATTCACTACGATTGTAGACATAAAATTTTGAGATCTAGTGTGAGTCATACAACTTATATATTAAATCAGCAAGAGGGGATGAAATTCTTACGTTGTGTAGTTTCTAATCTTTTTTTGGAGCAAAATAATAAAATAGAAATGATCAACACTTTACTATTTCTCTATTTAAACCTTATAAATTATAAAACTTAATTTAAGAGAAAGACTCGACAACCAAACTTCAATGGCCGTAAATAAAATAAATTTGAGTTATCTCTTACCATAGTTTCTACAAGTATTTATCTTGACACCTATTCTGTAACTAGAAGAAAAGACGACATGCATATAAGAAGATTATTACATGTTTTAAAGGATCTGAACAATCTTTTTCTATGCACACAAAAAAAAACGGTACTATAAAACCTAAAATCACACATAGTAAGGAACCTTTTCTTGGTATATAGTGACAGATGATTAAGCTTAACAATGCAATTAAAGCTAAAATATTTTTATAAGCAACCTTCTAATGTGAGTCAACAAGAAGATCATTTTCAAGAGGGATATTCAACACCTTAAACCATATCATGACACGTGGGGTCTTGATTGTCTTCCTGTCTGTGAAGTTAGAATCACGGCAATAAAGGGTCCCACGTTTTTAAGTACCCAAAGCCATTGGGACAGTAAAAAGCTCCAAACACTTCTATAATAGTTTAACCCACAAATGTGGGTTTTCCAAATTAACCTCAAATGAAATTCCTCACAAAAATAACCGAAAAATATATATTATATTAGTCATAATCCGTGCCCTAAATCACGGTAATATATAAAATTCCACCGTTCAAAAAATTAATTTCACTATATTAAATGGTAATTTTTATTTTTTCATTTCTTTGATTACTTCATTTAAAATTAATTTTTATCTTTTATTTTCTTAAAAATAGCGTCAACTTTTTAAAAATGCATAGCCCGAAAAAATTTTCTCGACATATGTATACTATCGTGTATGGATAATATATAAAATAGAAGTTGTGTTAAACTACAAATTAGTCAAATATTAAATAATTGAATATGTGATATAATTGAGAGGTGTAATTTTTTTAGGGAGAAACACATGTATGGTATAAATATTCAAGTTGCTAGCTAATTTATTGTATAGATAGATTAATATAGATACGATAGAAATTAATTACAAGATCATTATAACTTTTAGTGGTAAAGTCGGAATAGAACAAAAAAAAAAATCTTTTGGAATTCAAATGAATCAAAGGTATAATATCATATAACTAAGTTATAATCCTTATGGGTGATTTAGTGGTTGAATATAATCTCTGTTAACTCTGAGGTTTCATATTGAACACTTCTCATATCTACTCTTGTTCCTCAAAAGACATGTCTAAATCTATTCAGACTACAATAACGAGTGTTCGAATTCGAATTAGCATTCAGCTCAAGTCTAAATATCTTGTAGTAAAAATAAAATATGTATATACTAAGTTAGAGTAAATTAGAAATGGAGAAATGTTGTTTGGTTAACCCTGTTAATTTGGATAGTATATCTACTGTTATACTTATCATTTATCTTTTTCCAGATCTTACCTACTTGAAAACTCTACACTAGGTACATTAATCTACCACCTTAGAACCGTTGTTCCTACCTTAGGAGAGATGAAGGATAGTGGTGGGTTAAGGATGTGGACCTTAGAAAGAATTGCCATTTCATCAATATACACTTTTCCCCAATTCTAGAAAAGGTCAAAAACTTGCAATTATCACTGGAATCAAAATTCTAACATTGTTGTTCTTAATAATGCCTAGTAACAGCTTCTTAAAAAGGAAAAAAAAACAAGGGTATTCTAAAATGGTTGAGTAATTTTGGGAATTGATAAATTTGTATAAATCACCATTCATTTATCCTTTGCCCGAATTTTTTTTTTAAGTCTTTAGAGATCGCTTTAATGAAGGCTAATGAGTCGAGGACAGTCTCTACCGATTTTTTAAGTTTAAAACCAAGTAAAAAAATAATCCTCTTGAATACTAAAAGATTTTGTTTAAGAGGGGCCGTAAATAGTTCAAACAGTGTTTTCAAAAAATTAAAGGTAGAGAGTCCCAATTTCCCTTCACTTCTAATTTTGGGCTCCAATGGGCCTCAATTTGGTATACTTTACAACTGTTTTTACTTCGTAACTAAGAAAGAGATGAGATTGTTCTTACGTTAAAGTATTAATTACCCATGAAAAGCAATTAAACTTATAATATACCATGACTCACTTTCATTATTATTCAAAGCTTGGTGCTTCACTTACACAAGCTTCAGCTCAGTTAAATCTCTCTGGTACATGAATCATGATCTCTCTAAGGGCACCATTTAAACCCGTTGATCACTCTTGATTCTCTGAAAATGGCAAATCATGTGGTCAATCTTTGCTAGGGATAAGGATTGATTTTATTTTGCCCCTCTCAGATTCTGGGTGCTTTATTTGGACCTCTCTCTGGCCTCCCCGTTGATATTTCCTCCTTCACTTATAATGTAAATTTGTCATTATATATGACCCAAACTTGGGGTATTTACTCCTCTACTGCGGTGTAGAGTGATTGAATTGGTAACATTGTTCATTGGGCTGCAAACGGACAATGTGATACCCGAATTTGTAAATGTATAATATTTTATAAATGTTGGGGTTAATGTATAATTTATGATAATTAATTTGAGAGTTAANTAAGTTATAATCCTTATGGGTGATTTAGTGGTTGAATATAATCTCTGTTAACTCTGAGGTTTCATATTGAACACTTCTCATATCTACTCTTGTTCCTCAAAAGACATGTCTAAATCTATTCAGACTACAATAACGAGTGTTCGAATTCGAATTAGCATTCAGCTCAAGTCTAAATATCTTGTAGTAAAAATAAAATATGTATATACTAAGTTAGAGTAAATTAGAAATGGAGAAATGTTGTTTGGTTAACCCTGTTAATTTGGATAGTATATCTACTGTTATACTTATCATTTATCTTTTTCCAGATCTTACCTACTTGAAAACTCTACACTAGGTACATTAATCTACCACCTTAGAACCGTTGTTCCTACCTTAGGAGAGATGAAGGATAGTGGTGGGTTAAGGATGTGGACCTTAGAAAGAATTGCCATTTCATCAATATACACTTTTCCCCAATTCTAGAAAAGGTCAAAAACTTGCAATTATCACTGGAATCAAAATTCTAACATTGTTGTTCTTAATAATGCCTAGTAACAGCTTCTTAAAAAGGAAAAAAAAACAAGGGTATTCTAAAATGGTTGAGTAATTTTGGGAATTGATAAATTTGTATAAATCACCATTCATTTATCCTTTGCCCGAATTTTTTTTTTAAGTCTTTAGAGATCGCTTTAATGAAGGCTAATGAGTCGAGGACAGTCTCTACCGATTTTTTAAGTTTAAAACCAAGTAAAAAAATAATCCTCTTGAATACTAAAAGATTTTGTTTAAGAGGGGCCGTAAATAGTTCAAACAGTGTTTTCAAAAAATTAAAGGTAGAGAGTCCCAATTTCCCTTCACTTCTAATTTTGGGCTCCAATGGGCCTCAATTTGGTATACTTTACAACTGTTTTTACTTCGTAACTAAGAAAGAGATGAGATTGTTCTTACGTTAAAGTATTAATTACCCATGAAAAGCAATTAAACTTATAATATACCATGACTCACTTTCATTATTATTCAAAGCTTGGTGCTTCACTTACACAAGCTTCAGCTCAGTTAAATCTCTCTGGTACATGAATCATGATCTCTCTAAGGGCACCATTTAAACCCGTTGATCACTCTTGATTCTCTGAAAATGGCAAATCATGTGGTCAATCTTTGCTAGGGATAAGGATTGATTTTATTTTGCCCCTCTCAGATTCTGGGTGCTTTATTTGGACCTCTCTCTGGCCTCCCCGTTGATATTTCCTCCTTCACTTATAATGTAAATTTGTCATTATATATGACCCAAACTTGGGGTATTTACTCCTCTACTGCGGTGTAGAGTGATTGAATTGGTAACATTGTTCATTGGGCTGCAAACGGACAATGTGATACCCGAATT